GGGACAGGACCCAGGGAATGGGCTGAGTCTGGGATTTTGTTGCTTCAGCTGCTGGCTCATTTTTAGGCAGTCAGTATCAGCTCAGTGTTCCTCTGAAGATAAGTCTGTGGCTTAGAAGTCCTTGATGGTTTCCCTTCCATGCATGAATTAGTTCTCCCATGTTTTGCTGATACAGCTGTTTCAAGGTTATGAAGAGGATGACAGTGACAGCAGTAAGAAATTAGGGCATTAGTCTTGTTGCAGGATAAGCTGCACATTTTACTGTTGGACTGTGTGCTCTTCAGTCGTTCTTTAAATGGGAAATGTGTTTTTTATGATGCTACAAATGTCTTCTCTAAATGCATTTGTGATATTCTCACAGAACCTGATTTTTGTTGGGGGAGAGGATTTTGCTGCTTCAACATTGTCAGTGTCAATGTGTTTCAGGTGTATGTGCAGGTTAACAAAGCAGCAGAAGATGAAAGCACAAAGAAGTTGGCTAAGGAGTTCTTTAGGAGGATGGAGGAACATGATGAGGAGACGTTGTCACTGTGGAAGGAATTTAGAGACTTCAGTATTGAGGAATACGTCCGGATTTATGAGGTGCAAATAATCCACTGCTTTTTCTGGGTTGTTGGCAAAGTGTTCTGCTTCTCTCTGTTGTTTCATCCATGCTATTGACAGTGCACAGCACCTTGTCATCCAGGAGTCTGCCAAGTACTGGACTGAGGGTGCTCCAATGTTGTCAAGTCACTGCCTTTCTAATACACTTGGCAGTGGTGAGAGCTGTTCCTCAGTACCAGCTGTGCCCCATTCGGCTGGGAAGATGCACAGGAGTAGATTTAACATCCAAGCAGACTGTCATGGAATCATCTAGGTTGGAGGAGACCTCTAAGATCATAGAGCCCTTCCAGGAGCTGAAGGGGCTCCAGGGAAGCTGCAGAGGGATCTGTGTTAGGAGCTGCAGGGACAGCACAAGGGGCAATGGGCACAAACTGAAGGAGGGAAATTGAGGTTAGATGTTAGGCAGAAGTTTTGCCTGTTGTGGTGGTGAGACCCTGTCCCAGGGTGCCCAGGGAGGCTGTGGCTGCCCCAACCCTGGCAGTGTTCACAGCCAGGTTGGATGAGCCTTGAGCAACCTGCTCTGGTGGGAGGTGTCCCTGCCCAGGGCAGGGCTTGGGGCTGGGTCAGCTCTAAGCTCCATCCCAACCCCTAAAATTCTGTGATTCTGTGATATCCAGCAGTGTGTTCAGCTCAGGGACATTAATTCTAATGCAGCAATCGATTAAATCAAGATCCAAAGATGCTTTTCTTTTAACAATAAAGTGACATTTCTTGGAATAAAACTAATTTTTTTATCTGTCTGACCTCTGACACAGACGTAATGTGAATAAATGCTTAGCCTCAGTCTCAACAATGTTACCCTTCTTTGATATTTTGGATCATTTCAGCGTCTGGGAGTGCACTTTGATGAATATTCTGGAGAGTCGTTTTACCAAGAGAAGGCTCAGGAAGTTCTGAAGATGTTGGAAGATCAAGGACTCCTTCAGAAAACAATGTATGAACTCACTGTTCAGTCTCGTGGTGTAGTTTACTTAGCATCTCACTTCAAAGGGGATGTGGTGGGTGAGGTTTGTACATGAGCTAGGGGGAAGAGTTTTCTTTAGATGGTTTTGGTAGCTGTTTGAGTAGAAAAACAACAGAATTGGTGCAGTCACAGCTAAAAGTTAAGCTGGCCTTTCCTGTGGCTAGCACAGAGGCCTGACCAGGACAAATTGTGGACAATGACAGTCTTCAACTCCTAATGACCTTTTGGCTGTTAATTAGTTGGGTAGGTGCATGTGCTGTTTGATGAGTAGAGATCCTCTCCATTCAGGGAGAAGGAATGAGATGATCTAAGCGAGGGGGTTTGTGGCAGGAGGCTTTTGTTTTGGTGCTGAGCCCTGTCTGAGCTGTGCTTACCTGTCTGTTGGCTTGCAGTTACCTCAGGGTTTTCTCTCACCTTACAGAAAAGGGACAGGAGTTGTGGATCTGTCAGAAAACAAAGACCTCTCATCGTTTTCCACCGTCATGCGCAGTGATGGGACCTCTCTTTATATAACCAGGCAAGTGAGCCTAGCTGTGTTCAGTGCCATTTGTCTTTGGGTAACTTCTTGTGCATGAGTTTGTCTGTAACTGATAGCTCAGGTTTTGAAGCTTTTTGTTTTTGGACTGATAGCTCAGGTTTTGAAGCTTTTTATTTCTGAGAGGAATTGTAGTTGGAACTGGCAGTGTAACTGTGATGGGATAAAAATGGCTCAGGATAAAGAGTGGCTTTTTTAATACATAGAACCATAGTAACTGTGATGGGATAAAAATGGCTCAAGATAAAGAGTGGCTTTTTAAATACATAGAACCATCAAGGTTGGAGGAGATCTCTAAGATCACTGAGTCCAACCATGAACCTGTCACTGCTGGAACCCCCAAACCCTAACCCAGATCCTCCAGTGCCACATCAGACACCTCTGAAACACCTCCAGGGATGGTGACTGCACCACCTCCCTGGGCAATATCCCAGGGCCTCAACACCACAACAGGGAAAACATTTCTCCTCACATCCAATCTGACTCTGCCCTGGCTCAGCTCAAGGCCATTCCCTCTCTCCTCTCCCTCAGCCCTGGCAGGACACACATCCCACACCTCTCTCCAGCCCTGGCAGGAGTTGCAGAGAGCCAGGAGGTCACCCCTGAGCCTCTTCTCCAGGCTGAGCAACCCAACTCCCTCAGCCCTTGCCCATGTGCTCTGCCCTTTGCTGCCCTCGTTGCCCTTGGCTGGACTCGCTCAGTGCCTCAATGGCCTTTGGGCAGTGAGTGCCCAAAGCTGAGCACAGCACTGAGCTGGGACCTCCCCAGTGCCCAGTGCAGGGGGATGACACTGCCCTAGTGCTGCTGCCACACTCTGCTGAGCCAGGACAAGGTGCCCTTGGCCTCCTTGGCCACCTGTGCACACTCTGGGCTCCCCCTGAGCTGTGCCCCCAGCACTGCCAAGGCCCTTTGTGCTCTATGTCTGAGTGAAAGTCCAAACAGTTTCTCATTCTCTCTTTCAGAGACATTGCAGCTGCTATCGACCGAATGACTAAGCACAGCTTTGATACAATGATTTATGTGGTAAGTAACTGCAGGTTCAGTGGACACTTTTGAGCCTGACTCTCCATGGTAATCCAGGAGGCCTCATGCTTGCAATATGACTTTGGCACTCAGTATTTTTGGCAGTAAAACATGTCCTTGCTGCTGCCCAGCAGCTGTGCCCCCATGTGACAGTGTTTCTAGGTTCTGTTTCAGTTCTGGACTCACAGAATGGTTCAGAAATGGCTTTAAACTGAAAGAGAGCAGGTTAGGATTAGATATCAGGAAGAAATTCTTTACTGTGAGGGTGCTGAGGCACTGGAACTGGTTGGCCAGAGAAGTTGTGGATGCCCCAACCCTGGAAGGGGAATAGATTGCCCAGGGAGGTGGTGCAGTCACCATCCCTGGAGGTGTTTCAGAGGTGTCTGATGTGGCACTGGAGGATCTGGGTTAGGGTTTGGGGGTTCCAGCAGGGACAGGCTAGTAGTTGGATGTGATGATCTTAGAGGTCTCCTCCAACCTTGATGGTTCTATGGTTCTATGAGATGTACATTGTTATGGAACTGTGACAGTTTATGCTTTTCTGTTAAATTATGTCCCTCCCCTATGATGTAAAGCTACAAATCACACTGGAGGCAGCAGGAGCTAGTGGGTTCTACAGACAGACAGCTTGGAGAGGTGTTCTGTTTCTGAGCCAAAGGAAGTTTGGGGATGTAAGACATGGGGAAATGACCAAAGCAGCAAGTTTCTGAGGTGAACATTTGGTTTGCTGGACAGCTCACAGATTATGGGAAGCTGAAGAACATCGAGGTTTCATTTCACTTCTTTGCTTTCTGAACTGAGAGTAATCCCTTTGGAAAAGGTAGATTATCCCAACAAGCTGTAAAATCCCATTGCCATAGATTCCAGATGTTGCATCCTTCTATTCTTGCCTGTTTTTCACAGGTCTTAATTCTGCTTGCAGTGACAGTGGTGGTGTGTGTTAAAAGCTGATCCTGATCAGACTTGCAGTGTTTTCTGATGTGCTTCAATTCTCTTCCTTAGACAGATAAAAGTCAGAGCAATCACTTTCAGCATTTGTTCCAAATCCTGAAGCTCATGGGTTATGCCTGGGCAGAAAGGTATGTGTTTATCAACCTGAATTATGTTATA